CTGGCAGCACAAAATCACACAAAAAGGCAACCGATATGACCCTTAAAAAGCAGGAGGACCTGGAAAAAATAGTCAGCCCTCTGCAAGTTGCAGTCAAAACATGGCTTTCTGAGTGCTCCTCCTTTTCTAATGCAAATGTACCAGAGGCAGCCATACTGTTTATTGTAGCTAGGCACAATATAGGACATCTGCCGGTTAGCGTTAGTGTAATTCCCTCCCCATGCTTCATTAACCTCCCCCTTTATGGGCCCAGAGAATGGAGTTGTGGAGGCTTGGACAGTGGTGGCGGAGGAGGGTGGGTGAGACCCAAGCGCTGGCCCGGCTGAGGAGCACTGAGGCTGGGGCAAGCCGACTGCTTGATGTCCTTCCAGCTCATTTGATTCTTGGAGGAGGACCTCTTTCATCAATGACCATGTGGTGGGTCTTGAGTCTGAGTAAGGCTGAGTGGGTGGTGGAGGGTGGGGGCCTGAAGTGGACAGGCTGGGCCAGGGTGGGTGTCTGGTGCTGGGGGTAGATTTGTTTTGAGTAAAGGATGCCTATTCTATTTGGTTCAGGGTCTTTGGCTGAGGGTGAATGGGTTTTTTTTTGTGGTTTATTGTATTCAAGGGTGACACTGCTGAATAGTAAGCATTTAATCAGATGGGCACAGGTGTGTTAAATTTGGGACTGCAGGACTGGGATCCACTGTCTGTTGTCATCTGGTGTAGCCGGGGGCAAATTAAGTTGTTGGGAAGGAGGGGGGAATTGGGGGGTTACTGTGCAGTGTCCACTGTCCTAGAATTAACAGGGGATGGTGCCTGTGTCATCTTGTCACTCCATCATGGTCCTTTTGTCCCCTCAAGGCTCCAGCTGTATGGAGGTTAGGAGAAAGCTAAAGAAGGAGGGGTGCCTTAAGGGTAAAGGGTCAGTATGCTTCAAACGTAGGGCTTGTCTGATCGTTGAACAGCGTTAAAAACCGCCTCCCCCAAACGTTTGCAACATCAGAATTGGGGGAGGTGTTTCGAACAATTTGTTACTATTACCACTGACCAGGTGTTATTAAGAAAGTAAGCAGGATTTTGACTTCTATCTCAAACTTTAAAACATTTTTGTTTTGTTTTTTGTTCTCACAAATACCTTGTTCACTTTTTGTCTAATTGACAACATGAATGCCTCTGAGGGACACTATCCAAATGTCCCCAAAAGTCCCCAAAGACTTCTGCCTTCAGGTGTGGTCGGACAACACACCGTAAAGCCTAGTTAGTTTCAAGAAGACCCTATTAGCCGTTATACCGTCTCAAAGAGTGGACCAGAGATTGTGTGTTGGAATGAAGAAATCAGCGAATTACGGCTGTACCTAATAATTTGTTTGTCCAATTAAACCATCAGTAATTATTAACCTCTAGGGATGTCCAGATCTGATCTCAGAGATTGGCATTAGGAACGATAACTATTGGCTATATTGAGCTAATTGCCCCAATACGATCCTTTGTTTTACATCAACTGTCACACAGCTCTTTTTACTCACTAAGCTTTCACGTACAGCAACAAAACGAGTGCAGCCAACGTCAATTCTCCAACTCCGCTGAGCTCCATGTGGCAGTGTTAGACCGGGGCTCAGCCCACCTCTCAGTACAGGGAGCCAACACAACCACACTCACCATGCCACTGCAAGTGCAACAAAAGCCTGGCAAACAAAAAGCCCATACGAGTTATCCATTAATGTAATCCATGCAAAAGACGTAGGTGCAGACAATGAAAATAAAAACTTGTGAAAATGTGATTTTAATAACTTTAATGTACTTCAAATGGAACTGTATTATATAGAAGACAAGTATCGCATTGGGACTCGATATCGATTCTCATTAAATGACGGATTGGAGACAAAAAAACAAAAGACTTTATCAAGACATTCCTATTAATTATTAAAACTAACAAAATTATTTTAGGAGTTTGGTGAACTGTTTTTTAATTGCTTAATAATTGAATTGATCAGTTCATTGCAACTATTTTTTTCATAACCTGTACACAATGAACGGGCTACAACTAGTAGGGCTACTTTCAATGATTTCTTATAAATCATATAATACAAAAGTATTATTATTATTATTATCATTATTATTATTATTATTGTTATTATTATTACTACATAAAACAAAGACAAGCAGCAAAGCCTTTTATAAATGCTTGAAAAATCAATTAGTTGCCAATGTATTTTCTTGACTAATCAAGTGGTACTCAAACATTTAAGAATAATGTATCTCCTGATATTTTTTCTGTCAAGTACCTCCTGACCAATGCAAAACACTAAGATGGCATTGTAGTTGCATTGAACTGTGTCTTTTTGATAAGTTTTACTTACAGTTGAGTGAGAAACAAGATTTGTGTTTCACTAAGGAGCTTTGTCTTTCTCTGTGGCAGGGAGGCAACTGCAGTTTATAGTTTAATAGGAACTTTGTATATAAAATGTGGTTTATCGAATGCATATTTACATTTTTTGCTGAACTTACATATACTATAATTATTTTAGGAATATGTACGATATTTTAAACTAACATTTAACATAAAAGTCAATTACCCACTGCAGTACTTGAAAGTACCTCTAGGGGAATATATAAACTCATTTCAGAAACAGTAAAGTAATTGTTTCTAAAACAACCACTACAAATAACGATATAATGGCTGCGCTTAAATGTCTAATAGTCATAATGCAAATAATGAATAATCATTTTCATTGGCAGTTACACGTTTTTCATGTAAATGGGTGCTTCAGCTTCAGTATTGCAGGAGAAGTACAATATTTAGAGTTTATTAACATGAACACAATCATCACCGCACTGAGATATCCATAGAAACTACAGTATCACACACTGTATCAACTTCAGCAAAAACCCTGGGAAAGCCTCAGGTGTGATCTACCTGACTCGTCTACGCTTGCACAGCATCCCACCAACACTACAGCCCGACACAAAACTTTCACACGTAAACCCGGCCCTAGGGGTGAAAACCAGAGGTTACTCTAGCTTCCAGAACTTCTCTGTTTCAAATATGACACATTAAACTCTGAGGCCCCAACGTCCAAAAATAGAGAAGTACCTCTCCAATACTGTACACGATAAATTTACAGACCTTGGGGTGAAACACGATAAAGATGATTTTTAAAAAGGTGCGAGTGTGGGAAAGATTAAAATAAAGAGAGAGGCAGTTACAGGGAAAAAGAGTTGGCGATACATTCATTTCCGACCTTTTGGCAAAGTGTAAACAGACACTCTGGATTTATGTAATGAATTGGAGAAACTGATAGTGGTGGCGAGTTTGAATGTGTCGAAACCTCACTGGAATTGTTGGTACAGAGATTGAACTGCTGTGAAGTAGTATGTTAGCATCAAATTAAGTACTCTCTTTAGAATTTTTAACTGTAGTTTCACACACTTTCCCTCTGTCTCCACTGCAATACAGTGTAAACTTGGAGAGAGTGAGGGCAGAGTGAAAATAGAGAAGGCAGGGAGCCTCTAATTTGGCGCCCATCTGCCACATGTGCTGCCCTTCAAAACCCTCCGGTACCTCTGATGTTGGAGGGAACTGCACTCTGTCCTCTGTCTCTGGCCAAGAAAACTCACTCAGTACCGTACAGACATGGCTGTGGTCATGCATGTTCAAGCCACAGAGGATTAGCAAATAGCTTCACTTCTATTTCAAAAAGAAATTGAAAGTAATATTTCAATTTCAAGTTCAATTTCAAGTTTAGGAATATCATTAATGTATGCTTTGTATGTAACAGCATTAGTCTTCCCAAATACATCTAGATAACAATGGGGATATGTTACCTTGATGGTCTCAGGTGGTACCCCGGGGTCAGGGGCCTTCTCCAAGTAGGTGGTCAGGTCCTGATCCACATGCTCAAAGACCAAAGTGAGTTTGGTTTCTCTGTCAGTCCGAGAGACTGTACACACATCAAACAACCTAGAACAAAAACAGGTGGAGGAGATCAATACCAGCTAGACAGTCTCATTTGTCCTGCCACAGTTTCATAATTAACCAAAAAAGTTTTGTCCTCATAATAACATAAAAGATCTCCAACACACACACACACACACACACACACACACAGGTCCAAACTGTTACTGCAGGAAGTTATCAGTGATAATTTTACTTTATCTAATATTAGCTCATTTAGGTAACTTATGTTAACTAACGTTAGTTTAACTTTAAAATGTACTTAATTGTCATTCAGGGATCATGCCCTTGGACACCTACCCATCACAATCTCACAAAATCCTGGGGGAAACACTGAATAAAATGTATTCAAAGTGCTTCAATTTGCTTGTGAGTACCACTAATAAGACAGAATCCCTTCTCAACATGTCCGCATTGGTGCTGCAACAATTATTCAATTCATCGATTAACTGACAGCTATTTTGATAATCTATTAGCAGGAAAAAATCCATATTCTCTCATTTCAGCTTCTCAAATATGAACAGATTCTGGTTTATTTAGTCCTCAATGACAGTAAACTGATTATCATTATCTTTGGGTTGTGGACAAAACAAGACATTTGAGGATGTCGCGTGGGCTTTGCTTCTGTACTCCACACTGCATATATTTCACTCTTGGAGACTCAAAGAAGTGCAAGTTAAAGCAAATGGAGACTGGATATAGACAGCAATGGGCATGTCAATCACAGATTTTAACTAATGACATTAATAATGACTGTTATCACTTACTGGAACACCTTAATGTAATGGAGCCCTTATTGTTATTACCTAATATTAACTTTGTGTTTCTTGCTATGAAGAGTCAAAGTGTCTGTTTTTTAATCATGGAAAAGGAAAAATCTTCTAATAAAATCTCAACAGCTGAGAGTTAAACATATGTGCTTTATGGTTGGTCAGGAAAGCACCATCTACCAGGACTCTTAGGCCAAGAACCATAGTCTGGTCTCCTGGGTATTTTTTATCTTACAGAAACTTGCAAAAATGAACATACTTGGAGACTTACCGACAGAATTACCACGTGCTGCAGGACACGCTGGTTTCATTATGTCAGGTTACCACGCAAAACGACTTCTATGCAACGCTTTTGAAGATTCAAGACTATCAAGCTTTTACCAGCATTTATGATTGTCTTTCACTAGGCAACAAACTAAGGCCAAGAATCCAGATTATGTCGGCAGACCTGCCAAGGCAGGCTTTGGTGAAAAGCTGAAAAAAAACTATCCAGTATGTCCTCTTCAAAGAGCTGGGGACCACAAGCAGCATTCCTCAACCAGCACTATGACAACTCCTGATGCTCTATGGGAAGTTGAGTGGACCCTGCCTGTAGCTGCTGCAGAGGCAACATCTTTCATCACAAAAACATAGGAGATAAAGGGCGCCATGAAGTATATTCATCAGCCACACTGTGGTGGTAGTACGGGTTGCAAACTGATGGGTTACTGTAATCCCATTACCTTTACAGTGTGGCAGTATTATTTTAAATCCCTAGGCTACGAAACGTAACAGATGATTTTGTCTCCCATTACTTAGACTCAATCTACATCTACAAGACATTTAGTGATCAATATGGATTTCCTACAAAAGCTTTCAAGTCACTGATTGAGGGTACCACTGGGTATTAGCTATAACTTCCAACTTCAAAATGCAAAGACTGAATATTTACTCTAAAATATTCACACCTAAGAGACTATTATCTATGATCATTGCTGCAATATTAAATCCATCACATTAATATTTTAAAACAACTTCCAACACATGTGCTGCTACAATTCAAACTAGCTAATCTGCATAAGCCGTTTAAAATCGAAGCATGGAAAGAAATGACTAAATCTCTCCGGAAACGCTTTCATTCCTATCCAACTAGGCACCATGCATCTGTGCCAACACCCTTATAATCAGCGGACTTGGAAATGCTGGAGTCAGTGCAGTGAGTGAGAGGCGATTCATTCAAGGTATTAGTACTGTGCATGATGTCACAGAATAGACGGCGCCCTCCTCTTGAAGCGCTGGGGTTAAACGCCCCTCACAGCTCGATTGTTGGGCTACAATGGGGGCTCTCAGCAGACACTGAACATATGGAATGAATAATGGGCCTCATTACAAACATCCAGGGGTTGCCTGGAGTCCCACAGAAGGCCCACAATGCAACCTTCCTGGCCTGAGCTGCTTGGCTAGATTGGCTGGCTCAACTGGAGGTAGTGAAGTTCCTTTGATAGTTCAAAGATCTGATGGTTTACACTCTCCAACTATTATATGCTATATATATATATATATATATAAATATAAACATATTACCTAAACTTGTGCTTTCACAGCAGTGGGT